TAATTCTTTCTAAACCGTTTATAAATGGAACTCTAGTGTAAGTGGCCAATTAAGGAGGGTGGTGCTGTTCAGCATCACCCTCTGTACATGCTGAAAGGACAAAGAGGTGTGTTACCAACACCTGCGCTCCTTTCTCTGTACTCTTTGCAAGGCTTCATCTTACAAGCAGTTATTACCATGAGCAGACCTTCTGACTTAAGCACAAGTATTCCCAGTAAGAGCTGTTACAGTATTATTTGCACATTTGGGATTGTAAGACAGTGAAACAACAGAAGTATTCTATTCATATTCCCTAAATCAGAGAGTAAGGAAGCACAGTTTGTATCTTTTAGACTCCCACGAGTAATAGTGATGAAATTTAATACACCTATTGCATATTAATTCAGGTCAATTTCAGGGGTTTCATACCCTGAAATTCAGTTTAGTTTTTTGGGGGGTTTGAGTGAGCAAGGAAAGAGGAGTATCAAATTCCACCCAATTTACACTTGAAGCAAATTAGGGGGTGGCTGGATATTTTTTGAAATGAGTTTCAAAACTACACATGGAAACCAATTCAAAATTTCTAAGGCATTTCACCCAGGGACACAAGTCTGATGCATTACTGCATGCTGCATGCATGCTGCAGGCTCCCCTTCTTGGAAGCATGGCTCCAGCTTGACCAGCTAAGAGGCTGTATTCAGCATCCTGGTAAAACTGTGCTATGAAAGCAAGTTCTGCTGGGACTGCAACAAGGCACCAAACTCCCCTTTGATTGCAAGAAAAAATTCTGTGAAACGGTTATTCGAAGAAAAAACAAATAATGAGTCCGACCTAAATGTGGCTGTGAAGCCTTTATGCTCTGTTGGTGTGTACGAGCAGATGCACTGCTTAAAGCACTTGAAAACTAATCTGAGAGAAAGGCTACGTAGAGATGCTCTGTACATGTGCTATATGTATAGTATGGTTACCAGGTCAGCTGCGCTTTTCTGTCTGTTCTGTGTTTCTCTCCGTCTACACCTCAGCAGTGTCAGGCTTCAGCCCTTCACTTCTTACTGCTCCCAAGAAATTCTGCGGTTCTCTGAAACCAGCTGGAAACTGGATTCCAGCCCCTCGGTTTCACCAGCAAGAGAACACTGCTCTGACATGAATTGGGCCTAGCACAGCTTACTCTTTGACAGCAGCTGGCTAAAATGAGTTAAAAAATGCTTTAAAACTAAGGACCTTTTACCTTTGATGCTTTGAAGTATCAAATAGATTGAATAAGGTATAAAATCATCACAGCTACAAACTACAGCTCACACGTGCACATTTTGTTTCAGTCCTTTGCCTCTCTCTTTCATAGCTCAGACATCTCCAGATTATCGTCAGTCTGCAGAATGAGAGGAACAGCCTGCAATGGTCTCAGTGTCCACCTTATGTTTATAGTGCCCTCTGCATCTTCGCCCTCCTAAGCTTGGGTCTAGCTTCTTGATGGTTTTTCTTTAATCCCTCCCTCCAGGCTTGGAAAAACAACTGTGTCACTTGCTCCCAGGGAAGGGACTAAAGAGTTTCTCCTTGCGTCTCTAAATGTGGCAATTGTGTCTGAAGGAATGCTCTTTATCTGAGCAATTGCACTGACTCTTCTGCTTATATTTTCAACAATGTTTTGATGACTTCCATTGAGTTAGTGTGCAGGCATACGGCAATGCAAAACACAGAACAAAATGAGTCATTCAAAATGTTCATAGTTTCCTGGATTGTTGCATTTACTATTAAGTTATTGGAATAATTACAAATTTAATACATCCAATAACATTTAATGCCTCTAAAGACTCTTAGGAGGTTATTCACTAACAGATACTTCCCACTGAATAAATTCAGTTCATAGCCATGGAGATAAGGTAATGTCATATTTTTTTCCTCTTTCTACACGTAAGACATGAGAGTCTGCCTTACTAATGTGCTGCTAGTAGAGCCTCAGACTTTCATTTTCTCATGAGAGGGATAAAAATTTAAATTTTCTGTTCTTTCACTACAGCATTTCAGCATAATGCAACATTTTCATTACTTTCTTTTGGCCCTGTCCCAGTTCTGTCCACCTGACTCTGAGATACAGGAGCAGTGCATGTGGTTGGTTTTTTTACAAACTGAATTATAGCATTGCTGAGCCAAGGTGATCTTGATGAGAGGGACAAATCTGTCATTTTTGCCTGTTAGCATTTTTGTACTGGAATATTGAACCACATGGTAGGCCAGGGTACTGAGTTTTCATAGCCAGCTTGGAAACTGTGTCCCATTTATAAAGGTACGTTATGGGAGATTTGATAAATTGAAAAAGTGGCAAGGAAGATCTCTTCAGTCTGAGTGTCATATCCCATAGCAGCACTTTCTGGTAAGGGAGGAGAAGTTTTGAAAACGTACAGCTCTCTTTGCACCCCAACATTTAAAATTAACAGAGGTTTCTTTAAAATCTTTTGATTGCTCCTATATACAATATCCAGTGTGGACAAACTGAAACTTGATATAGGGCCTACTTTACTTCTTACTTATTTTGCATATAAATCAGCAGCAGAAATAAAGCTTATTCAATAGCAGTCATATGGATACTGAATGCATTTCCAAGAGGATTTCATACTAACTCTCTCTTATGTCCCTGCCTCAGACTCCTAGGCTGGATGAAAACACAGTACACAACAACTATTTTTCAAATATTGCTTCCAATAAGGAACTGGGAAATGGGAGGTGGGGGCTGCTATATTTTGCCCTCCATGTGTGTGATCATTTTTGTTAAAAAAAAAATAGGAGACAGTAGGGTTGGGAAGGGAGAATTCAGGACTGTTGGAAACACCTGATTGCAAAAAGAAATTGGAGATTGGAACTTTTAATCAAGTATCCTGACACTCAGGTAAGCGTCAGAGAGGACTTTCCCACCACAATTAGGAGTTGGTGGGAACATCTCCTTTAACTGTAAGTTGGTGTTTAACTGCAATTCTGGGCACCTGAATGCCTTCCACATTTGTCCAAGATACTCTATAGGATCCTGTTGCAATTTATGATTTAGAAGAAGCTTTTCCTGATGATTCATGCAAAGAAGATTTTAACTAAATGGGCTCCCCATCTGCATGACACATCTGTGGTGCAGTCAGCTACTTCAGTTATAGGAAAGGCACATAAAGTAGCCTTTCAAAAGTGGAGCAGACAGTTCTTCCCTTAAAATTACTTTGCATAAACCTTTATGAGTGCCTCAGATCACGATGGTGAAAATTTAGGTTCAAACCAGAAAATGCCAAGAGTGAGCTTCTAGTTTTTTACTGCTGCACTGTGATGGGCAGAGTGGAGCAGGGTACAAGGAAAAACCTAAGTGGGGAGTTTCCCCATAGAATGAGTGCCCGAGATTTTCATGGTGCCAATTTAGGTTTAATCTGGCCAAGACTGGGGTTCTGCATTTCACCAACTTATTATGATGGACTAACTGCAGTGAGATATAAAGAAAATCATCAGTGAGTAATTTCTGCAGAAGATACAAATAGAGAAAACAGAACCTGCCATTGTGTTCAGTTGTAGCTTATTCTTTCCTTGGAAATATTTCCTCTTTTGCAGTTCACAGATTTTGTAAGGATTCTACTGCTCAAATATTTTTAGCAATATATGTCAGGAGAACACTTGAGAAACCGATTTTTTTGTTTCATTCTACAGCAGAAGAGAGTAAACTGACACAGTTTATGGTCTAAATTTGTTTTATGTATAAGCTCACATCAGCTATCTGACCTATATCAATTTTTAATATAGATGTGTGTGTACACACACCGACACATAGACACATGTGTACACATATACCCATGCACTCCATTTTCCAAGCATATGGAGGAATTTCACCTTTTCGTGTTTGCTACCTGAAGGCAAGTAATTGCTTTCATGACTCTTACTATATGTGAAACATAGGTAGTTTTGCTGTACTGACGTATTGTTGCATGGTGGTTGCTGAACAACTAGATTCTTAGCCAAGTCCTTTCTTATAAGATGCTTCAGTCTTCAAGTTTGTGTTTAAAAAGGACAGAAAGCAGCTGCCTCTGGGGCTTACTCATGTACAGCAATACACAGGGTGTGGCTTTTTTTCTGCTGAGCAGCCCTCCTCCGAGAACTTCTGCTGAAATGTTTGTGCAGTTTGGCCTGTCTGCTGTTTCGCCATGTTTAGCATAGCACATTTGCACATTTTATTGTCAATAGCTGACATTTTTCATTGATGGCCTTTGCTGGAGAGCATAAGAGCATTACAGTATAGGTGACCTTGTTCAGCAAATAGGACAGTTTACTGTTTTCCCTGGCTTCTTTTTGAGGGCACTTGAGCTGTTATCTTGATATTAGTAAAGTTATCAACAAAAGCAGAACTCGTTATCCATTGAGAAGGCCTGGCTTGTTTAATGCAGCAGCAAGATATCTTTCTGGAGAGCAAAGATGTGAAAACCATCAGTGAGAAGCTGGAAGGAGTTAAGTCAATGTGATCTTTGATTTCAGTGGGAAGTCATCACATAGGAAATGATTGTGTGCTTGGGTCAAGGAGACTTTTTTTAATTATTATCTGGAATAATCCCCTACCTTTGTGTCTTGTGAACACGGTGCTTTTCCATGTTGCTCGTGACAGAGAAAGTCTCATTCTGTGATCACCAGGTCTGTGCAAAACAGAATTCTCAACACCGATATGAGTGTCTTTACCATCCTTTTGAATTCAGCAGTTCAATTTGCACAGGTCAGATGTAGTTGCTTCCATGTGTTTGGTGGCCAAAAAGAAAGGAGGAACTGCCATAATCAAAAGGAATTAATAGTATTTACCCTGAGCAACAGCATTTCTTTGATTTGAGTAGGGGGGACAACTGAAAAATGTGACAGTAGTGAAAGGAAGGAAAAGGAAAGAGTCATGTGCTTTTCCAGTGACAGCCTCCCTCCTCCTCCTTACTTCATGCCTGTGCCTGTGGTGGCTGGTGATCAGGGTTATTACTTGTCTGAGTTTTCTGAGAGATGTTTTCCTTATTGTGTCCATTCAGGTCTCGGTCAATCAGCGGAGCATCATCTGGGCTCTCCACCAGTCCTCTCAGCAGTCCAAGGGTAAGTGGTGCTGCTTCAAGATCTGTTGGTCCAGTTCACTCACACATGCTTGATGCTTTCCGCATCTGTTGCTCCAGAGCCGTGGCTCTTAGCTGGGATGTTTTGTTTTTCCTTGGCAGCTTGTAAATTTTCATGGGTGGTGAGGGAAATGTTATTTACAAATGCAAGCAGAGAATTTCTCATACATGTTCCCTGCACTGTTAGCAGAGATCTCACTGTGCCCTTGCCTTTTTTCAGTCTCATAAGGACATAGAATAACATTGCTATGACTAAATACTGCCCTATCCAGCTGAGGTCTGCATACAGTGTAGCTTCAGACCAAGTAATCAGGAACCATTTCACAGCTGCCTTCAATTAGGTCACAGTAGAGCACCAAACCATGCTGGCTGTCTTCTGTTTGCCTCAGAATAGCTTCTATTAGAAACTCAGAGAAAATAAATTATACAAATTTGAGGGCTTGCAAATTCAAAAGGGAAGTAAGAAGCTGACAGACTAGGATGAGTAAAGAACATTCCAACCCCTGTAAATAAGGTGCATTCACATGCCCTTTTTAATCATACAGTCATCTAAATATTGTTACTTACTGATACTTAGCTAGTACAATACACGCCTCACAGTACATGTGTTGCAAAGTTAGTACAATTTCTAAGTGTAATGACAGGGGCCTCCATCTTGATAACTTCTTTAGGGATTAGAGTGAGTATCCCTAGTGCCTGACAAGGTCAGCTAAGTCCCTTTAAGACTGCAGTGCTTACGAAAGTCTAGACCTCATCAAGAAATCTGTAGGGCTGTGGCAATCTGTGCTGCCTGATTGTCTGGCCCAGAATCTTTGGAGAGTTTCTATGCACTTTTCATTGACTTCATGAGAAGATGCTACCTTCCATTGGAAAGGGATATATTCCATGTGTTAGGGTATGGATACACCCGTGGATCTACTCTTAGTTACAGGAAGGTAACATCAGTATTCCGGGTACTTGAAATTGTAATTCCCCAGTAAGATTCTCTGTAATTCTTATTAATGAATACCCACTGTCAGGTGTAAGTTTATAGGCTAGTAAAGCTCCCAACACCTTGCTTGATTAAACTATTTCCTGAAAGATATTCTTGGTTTCTGTCAATTGTTACCCTGTTTTGCAACTGGCATAAATGTATTTGTGGTCTCCTCTGTGCCTTTAAAGTGCTAGGAGCCAGTGAACATCCATTTCTTTCTTTCTGCACTGGGACTCCTGGTTGTCAGTGGAATGAACCAGAGGTCTGAGGACTTTTGTGCCACTGCAAAATGTCCTGAAAAGGAGCATGGAAGTGGTTTTGTGCACAAAATAAGCATCCAGTGCAGCAAACCTAAATCTGGGTGTCATTAATTGATCTCTTGGGTTCACTTTCTGATATCTCAGTAGGACTACATCAAAGAATAAGGTTGACAAGATCTGTTCCATAGTTGCTGTATCTTACCATTATTACTTAATAGGCAGTTGATTAAATAGTCTTCAAAGGGATTTAGCAACCAGATGTCATTTTCAGCAGATCATAACGATATTAAGGCAGGTCAAATTTGAGGCTTAAAAGGAAATGTTGGAATAAAAATCATATACTTTTTAAGTCCTTACCTATGCTTCTAATAGCACCTTAGATTATTGAAAGAGAACATACTTTATAAAGCAAATACGGATTTCATTTTATGCAGTGCTGAGGTTCAGTTCTATGAGGAATTGAATTCAACAGCCACTAAAAGTTCTCAGATTTCACAAGACCTTGCTAATGGTGTTCCCCATGGCACCAGCTGGAATAGAGACGTAATCTTGTTCTTCATTTCATTATAAAAAGTGTGGTAATTAAGGGTGCCTCTTCAAATTCCTAATGGCTCAAGTGGGAGTTGAATTTGACTTTTATTTCTTTCATATTTGTTTCTCAAACCATCAAACACATAAGGTACAAAAATTGCAAGGAGACATTTGCAATCAACAGTCGTTGACTTCTATCCATTGGTGTCATTTGCAAATTGTTAATATTCAGATGCTGGTAGTGACTTCCACAAATTAATCACTTTCCTCATCTTTTCCCCATTCTCTCTCATTGGCAGTCAGAATTTACCAACATTGCAGATCTTAGCTTAATTTTACAATCCTAATAATAATACATATCTTTTGATATAGTGTTTTTTTTTTTTTTAATTTTGGTGGCCTAACTCTTAGTTCTTTGAAGTAATTACAAAACTTTATTGCATGCAATTTTAGGAATGAAGCTTTAAATAAATTTCTGCAATTTTTTAAATATGGCAACATTATGCTAATCCAGCAAACCCAGGAAGTAAACTCTCTAGTAAATGTGCTTACCTGTGACTGAGATTTGAGTCATGGTTACATGTACATGATATGTCTGGACAGTGCTTGATTGCAGCTTTTAGATGTTAAGAATGGATAATAATAATGGTGATATACAATTTTTCATAGGTAATAATTTATAGAAATCATAATCTAAATGTAGACCAAAGCTAAATATCTTGAATAGTGATTTCAGTTTTTACAATTTTTCCAGTACTTGTTAGGTGTTAACACCAATGTTTTGTGAGGACATTTGTTTTATTTTAAATGTGATTTTTAGCTTGCTAATATCCCTTTAAAAGGCTTCAACCCTTCCAAGTCTGTCTATTGCTGTTTGCTGTCAACGTATGAATGGTTTCCCAAAATGCCTCTTAATATGTGTAAATATTCTGGTTTCAGAAAAAAAAAAAAAAATCATAATCTCATTTTGATACCTCTGTGATGGATTATGAACTTAGCTTGTCTTTTTCTTTTTAAACTGTGTCTTACAAAGCAATGGCTCACCTCACCCTCTTCTTAGACTTGAGACTTAATGCCAAATATTGCTGACACTTTATGACAGAAACTCCAATTATCAGGCTGTCCTTCGATGAGATGAGGGATGTTGCAGGAGAAGCATAAAGTCTGATGGAAAATATTATCTCTTCCCAGATAAATAAATTTGCCAGGCCTCACTGAAGTTTTTGGTGTAGCAGTTTACAAATCAAACACCAATCTGAGTTCATAATTTTTCTTGTGGTGTTCCGTGCTTCGAAGCCTCCAAGTGAATGCTGAGAAATTTAACCTTCCAGGTCAGGGGAGGAGAGTGGGTGCCCAGGTGGCATTATTCTCCCTTTTCCTCCTCTTTCTGCAATGGGTGGCTGCAACTCAGATGTGCATTAGCCAGTCAGGGGTAAAGAGGAAGGAAAGAGGTTCTGACTGGTGTGTGCAGTAACTCTGTGTATCACCTGCCACTCCGTATGTATCACACACCTGTTCTGAGTTTCATCTCTCTACTGGGTTTGCATATGGGCACATGGAGCTGAAAGAGGTGGTCCCATTCTTGGCACATCTCAGTTTGTCTGTGGCTTGAGTGGTTCTTCTTCCCCTTCCTCACCTCCCTACAGCATCGTGCTTTTCACACTGCAGGGCAATCAGAACAATCCCAGAGAGATGGCATTTCTCTCTTCTTTTTTCTGAGTTACTTTCTTCTTTATTTTTTTTAAATTTAATTTATTTTACTGTTCCTTTGTTGTATTTTTCTTTCTGTTGTTTTCCTTTGCTGACACGTGGTTGGTTAATATGATGAAGCCTGTTATGACACTGTTGTTCTTGCTGCTGCCGCTGCTGCTGTTGTTGATTATGCTGTGTTCCCAGCTAACTGCATGTCTTTTTTTTGTTTTTTGTTTGTTTGTTTGTTTTCGTTTCTTTGCAAAATCCCTCCCCCCACTACCCCTTCACCTCCATCTCCTGTGTCTCCTTGTGACATGGTGCATCTTTGTGACTCGGATGGATTTTATTCTGACTTTCCTTTCTCTGCTCGCCCGCTCTATGCGTATTTCACTGTTTTTGATGTGCATGGACACTCTGCGTCTGTCTCGTAGCCTATCAGAAAGTTCTTCATCCCCCCTCAGACCTCCGACCTCCCTTTCTCTCCCCGACCCCAAGTCTCCTTGGACCCTGATGCTTGTAGGAACGCCTCCAGGCCTGGACATGTACTCCAACCAAAGCCAGCACTTCAGCCCAACCCAAAGACGCAGACTTTGCCATCCAAGAGCAAATTGGCTGAAAAACCACTCCAGTCTACTAAATCCAACCCACTCCCTACCAGCAATGCCAGCGCCCCCTCTTCCCAGAACAACCCTGTGCAGAACGCTCAGGGCCGCTCGCCTGCTGCCGGCTTTAACCCACAGCTGGCTGTTCCTAAAGTACAGACCAACCCTATGTCTCCTGTTAGATTGCTCCCTTCTAGTACTGACCCAAGCACCAAATCTATCCCCATCATACAGGTCACCCCTCACCCCTCTCCAAGGGGAAGTCCCCTCCCTACCCCCAAGGGGACACCTGTTCATACGCCAAAGGAGAGCCCAGCAGGCACACCCAACCCAACACCACCATCCAGCCCCAGCATTGGAGGAATGCCATGGAGGACACGGCTCAACTCCATCAAGAATAGTTTCCTGGGGTCTCCTCGCTTCCATCGTCGGAAATTACAAGGTGAGTACTCACCCAAACATACAGGTGGTTCTGATTTGGGCAGCTGTTCATCAGGAAGTAGATACCTGTCTGGCTCTGCAAATTCCATCTACCAGGGAGTGAATATTGGTATGAAACTGAGAGTGATAGCATCAGCCAAGCCCTAATCCACGTGTGAGCAGGCTCTGTCATGCCACTGCACCTGCTCCAAGAGCATCTCCAGAGCCCTCTTCACACTCCAGACAAACAGCTCTGACTATTTCTGTTGTGGCTCTTAGACCACAAGAATAATTCAACTTCACATTCTTCACTTGTTTTGTCAGTGAACTTAAAGCTCTGCCGTTTCCCCTGTGGCTGTGCTCTGCTGCCTCTCCACAGCCACAGGCTGAGCCTTCTGCCGAAAAAAAAGACAGCCAGTGGCAATAGGCTAAAATTGTCCTTCTGAAGCAAAGCTTTTTTGATCTTGGTTAATGCTTTTTTTACCGCCTTTGGTAATTGATGTAAAAATCTCCTTATTTTATATCTGCTGGCCTACTTCAGTTTTCAAAGTCTCTAGAGTGTTGAGATGTGCAAAATTTCCTTCCTCAAGTTCCAGGTGGCTTTCTGTATTCAGGGAAAGGGCACCCGAAGTCACATGCATTATCCTGGGATGTCAGCAGCAGCTATCCCAACACCATGTGGTTTTGCAGGGTACCGGGATGTGATCCCGTGGTAAAGGAAGCTCACAGCCATGGAATAGTTAGCTGTGATGGTCAGTGACATTGTCTCTGAGATGGTTAGAGAACTGCAGAGAATTGCAGCAGTGACTGAACTGCATCCAACTCGGCTTTGAAGCAGTTGTAAAGCAGTCATGTTGGCACAGTGTTTGGGTCTGAAACCAGTGCAAGATTGCATAATGATTTAAGGAAGGGTGGAGTGAGCCTTGAAATGCAGCATTTGATTAGATACAGTGATCTAGAGACATATGACAATGTTCAGATGTCAGACCCAGTCTGCAGAGGCAGTGGGCAAATACAAGAGGGTGCAATGCCAGAGTTGTTTCATTGGTGTACAAGCAGAAAATGGAAGGTGTACTGAATCATCAATTTCTTTTCTCCTTCCCTCTCTTCGTCTGTATGTGCGTGGGCAGTACCTACACCAGAGGAGATGTCTAATTTAACCCCAGAATCATCCCCAGAGTAAGTAATTTGCCAGTATGCTACCTTTTTTTTAACCACATGCCAATATAATTTCCTTTCCTGAATGTAATAGGCCGACATATTTCTGTTCTGGATCAGTATCTGTAACCTGTTATCCTGTGGGTGGGGTAGAGATGTTAAATGATTCTTCTGATAAGGACCCTGGATAAAATCTATACTTCAGAAATGGCAGTGGGGGTCAACAGGTGATGAAACAGTCTCCCAGTAACCACCTCATTTTCTCACAGCTTGGTGAATTTACTGGGTTTGTAACATGTTCCTTCTCTCTTCTTTCATTTGCTTGTCAAGTAGATGAGGTGTGGAGAGGCTAATCAGTGGCTTATACTGACACTAACTGTGCAGTAAATAGTCTTCCTTTTTAGTACAGGAGAGTGCATCCTCAGGACAACACGCAGAAGCCTCTGCTAAGATAATTCAGAGGAATCTTTGGCTGCGATAGTGAACGCAGTGTTAATTCTAGGCAGCAGCACTGGGACATGGAGAAGCTATTTCATATTCACCAGACTCATTCCTGAAAGTCAGCCTACATTTCAACCATTTCACTGCACAAATGTGCGTCATTGCATGGCAGGTTTGGGGGTCCCTGCCAGAGTGCTGCTCCAAACACTTCCTAATATGCAACAGATGCCAAATTATTCCTTTTTATTTTCACAGCTTGTGTTTGTGCACCCAATGCCCATAGAATTACCCTGCCAACCAAGGCAATTTGGCCTCTTGTTAAGATGCTTGTATGAAATATTCATGAGTCTTGGATGAAAATTTTGGGCTCAAAGTTTTGTAATTGGTGACTGTCTTAACAACTTTTCCCAGACCTGGTATATATCTGATGTAAGATGTGCACTCTGTGTGCAGTGCTGCAGAATGGGAAGAGATAAAGACTTCAGAATGGGGAGAAACAGGGATTAGTAAAGGTTAGTAACAGAAATGCAGGAAGAAGGATAGAATATGTTGTACTTTCAACACTTTTGAGCATTTACTAGTAGGCATGAAAGAATTTCATAAAATTAGCACATCATTATCAAAGAAGTATACAATGCTCTCATCTCACGTGTTTTTAAGGCCATTAAAACAGAAAACCTTTAGAATTAAATTTCTCCTCTTCATTGTATGTAAGTTGTTGGAAATTTTTCTATTAATTTATTGCCTTCTCTGCTTCCCACTCACTTTTTAAAAGCTGGTGTAGAGAAGTAGTGCCTGTCATTTGAGGCAGTTTGGATGCAAGTCAAAGCCTAAGGCCCTTTTTTCTTTTTCTGTATAATTGCCAAATTAATGAGTTCAATTGGGCTGCACCCTGCAGTAAACATAATACAAGTCATAAAAAATAATGAACTGGATTATATTTTAACGATAGAAGTCTGTTGCTCAGTGTCCACTTCCCCGTGTCTTTTTTTTGTCTAGGTTTTTTTTTTCTTTCTGTAAGAAGTAAGATATCCTTATCAAGAGCTGTATTGACCTCATGGGTTGAGTGATAAATACATGTCCTTGCTCTCTCTGGTACAGCAATGACTGCCATTCATTTAACAAACCTGATGACTCGGTAATACACTTTGACATGTCTGGGTAGTTCTTTTCTTTCTCATGTGAAAAAGTCTTAGAGAATGTGTTCGGGATGACATTTAAAGAGACTTAGCTCCATCTGCTTTAAACCTGCAAATCTCGTTTGCTTAAGTAGAAATGCTGTTATTTATGCCAAGCAGGTAGACCTCTGGAGGTTACAGATCCCTGTGCTCAGGGATAGAGAGGGAACACAGTGAGGCTCTCCAGACGGCAATGCAGTCAAGGCACTCCAAAAGTAGGAGTGAGAAATTCAATGTGAAGGAATAAAGCACCTGCTTCCATTTGCATGCTAATTTCTTTGCTTTTTCATCAACTGGACACCTGATTAGATTCCCTAGTGTAATCTGCATACCCAGCCTCTCCCACGTATCTCCTATCTCATTCCCCCTTTAAGAGGTTTGCCATGATAAGAGAAGATTCTTTAAGTACATTTTGTACTGCTTACAGCCTGATCTTGTGAGATGCTAGAGCATCTCATTCAGCGTGCTGAAGATCACTGATTCATGCACATTTTAACCCAAGTGAGTAGCACTTAATGCTCTTTAAGAGGAGAAAAACCTTTATTGTGTTCTTTTACTCCAAATCTGTCTCTTCTTCAGTGGGCCTATTCCCCAGGTGTATGAGTGCAGCTGGTTCTGCCAGTTTCAGGGGTAGAAGTCAGTGCACGTGTGCTATGACTCGATTCTGTTCATTACAGAAACAGGAGAGGCCATTGGCATCTACTCCATCTTATGCGACACCAGCAAAATTATTTAATGAATTCCAGTGATTTACAAGCTGGAGCATAGCCCAGGCTATCAGTGAGTCTTCCAGAGTTAGTATTACGGGTGATAACCTTGCTGAGGAAGAGAGCCCAGCTGGATTCTGGAGACTCCAGACCATGCTGAACGGGAAAAAAACACCCTATGTTCTGGGCCCCTTCTTACCTGTGCTTGTGAAGAGACCTGTAAATGAAGGGCCAACAAAAGCATTAATGACAATACAGAAATGAAAAGCCATATTTTAACATGGCAGATCTGCCGTTAAATATGCACACTTTTCCAGGCCCATGCTCCCACTGGGCCCCAGAGTCCATATCGCCAGCCCTGGTTCAGACTGTGATACATCCAAGCCTAAGACAACCAGCCGTTTTAGATAGATAACCAGGTGCTAATTTACTAATGAGCATAGACCCTTTACGTGCAGAGAGCTATTGCCCCAGCTCTCCAGGGGCTTGCAGAGTTGTTGTGGTGTGTGCGAGACACATGAGCTAATTAGTATGTAATTTTCTTTCACACTCTAACCCTGGCTCCTTAACGACCATTTAAATGAGAGACCCTTTCTCTTTACTGCTCCCTATGCTAATCTCTGGCTCAGTGGCTTAGTTACAGCTGCCTATGAATATTTTAGGGAGTGACAGTTTTCCAGCCCACTTTAATTGAGTGGGGGGCACTGGTTTACCAAATTGCAAGTGAATCCTTCTGTACTCTTATTTTTTGCTGCCTACAGTAAATGAAGCAAATAATTATTTGCCCAGCTGAGTGGTCTTCCAGTTGTGGTCTTTCTACTACGTGCATTAAATGGGCAGTGAGCCGACTTATTCATGGAGCAGACTGGAATGGGGAATGAGTGCAAATTACTGGACAATACTGAGATCAAGCTTTGTTCTTTATCCTGAAGGCCTAGACTTCAAATTAGTTTCTTAGTTTGCTCCTCTCTCTCCTAGTCTCTGCCTGTCCTTGTTCTGCCTCAGTCTGAGCCTTTGCTGCAGAAAGTGAGTCCACTAATAACTCACTCCAGCTGTTCATTGCTTTGCTGTAAAACTGATGTATAGTAATCCCTTCTGCAGATGGCTCTCCTTGTCTGGAGTGATTGTCTTCTTCCACTGAGTGGTGAATGTTCACCAAAATGAGTGAAAACCTATTCAGTGCCATACTGCAAACCGGACTTGGCATTATAAAGTATGCTGTAGAAGAAAAAAAAAAGGCAATCTCTTCGTGGCAGGTCTTTTCATTTCTGACATTTTCATGCCAAATTCTTCCCTACTAGAATATGGCTGATATAAGTGGAATTTTCTCTGAGTTTAGTTTGGTCTAGCAATTCTTTGGCTGTGTTTCGTGGCTAACAGCATCTTCTCTCCCCTCAAAACCACACCTGTCAGAGATGCTACCTTCAAGTTCTCAGTAGTGCTTCCTATTGAAATTCATGTCCCTGAATTCTTCCTTTAGCCTGTTTAACTTAAAAGGTAGTGTCAACAAAGTGTACTGGTAAAACAATAAGCAAAGTCAAACATTTACTGATACAATCAGTGTGAGAAAACAGAGCAATTTTGTTTTATGGTGAAACCACTACTTGATGCTGAAAGAAACTGTGAAGCTGGACTGCTGTCAGTGGAAACCCTGAGCTGTGTTTTGCATGGTGTTGGCATCTTCTTTCTTAGTACTGAAATTCCATTCCTTTGTAGGATGACCAGAGTTCACTCATTATGTAGACACCCTGAATGGAACTAATGAA